AATTTTAAAGAGGAAATTTTATATTAACCATAATAAAATTTTCGTGTTTGTAGTATTATATAACTTATTTTGTGTTTTGTTATTTATATTTGCTAATTCTCAAGAAGTGAATTAGAATTGTTAAAAATTAATCATAACATTATAAGTAAAATATATGTAATTTAAAACTATAATTAATAAAGATTTAAATTTTTAATAAAAATTAGGGAATTTATTAAAATAATTATATGCCTCTTAAAAACTATAAATGCTCAATGAATGAGACCATATACATTTTAATGGTTATAGTATTAAAAACAAATTTAAATTCATTTAAATGGTAGAAGAAACTCTACATGCTAGTTGTAAATCCTTTTTTTCAATACTCCAGCAATGTAATGAATAGGAAATTAATAAACCATTAATTACATTTATTTTACTTATATTATGATTTATATTTAATAATTAAAATTTATTGATCTTAAATTAACTAGCATAAATAATTGATAAAGTGCAAACTAAATTACATAAGTACTACAAAACACAAAAATTTTATTATAGTTAATATAAAATTTTCTTTTTAAAATTTATACAAAAATACACCACAATAAGCTTTTTTAGTTAATAACTTTTTTTTTTTATTTTTCGATTAATAAATTCCTTTTAAAAAAAGTAAAAATGTATTTTTTTGTGTATTTAAATTACAAAAATAAACAAAACATTAACTAATTTTTTTTTTCTTTTTTTTTTACTTAACAATTGCATGTTGGTCAATAAAATGTATTATTAACCTTTTAGAAAATAAACGATAATAGTTGTATGGAAAATATATAGTTATACATGCAAATTCTAGATACAAAAAAAAAATAAAATAAAAAAAAAAGAAAATTAATTGTTAATTTCTGTGTTTTCTTTTTCTAATTTTTAAATACAAAAAAAAAATATATTTACTTTTTTTTTGAAAAGATTAATTTTTGAGTTGAAATATTAATTTATTTATTTCTTATTCAATTACATTGCTGGAGTACTGATTTATTAACTGGGTGTTCGGTGACATTACTCTAGTACTGAACAAACAAATTAATAAAGAGCATGTAGAGGTGCCTCTACGATTTTGGTGTATTTATATATACTTTTATATGCTTTGAACGAGTTATTCTTAATTATGTGCTCTACTTCGTTCAGCATTCTTTAATTTCAATAGGCATTTATTTACTATAATAAAAATCCTTATTTTTATTAAAAATTTAAATACTTATTGAACGTTGATTATTAATTAATTGTAAATTACATGTTTCATTGTTATGAGTTTCATTACGCAACTAATATATATTGCTGTTGAATTAACAAACATAAACAATTCTTGACAATACAAAGAAAATTATATAAATATTTATTATATGAAAATTTTATTTCTATATGTATAAAATTTTCTTTTGCAAAATTCGTCAAAAAATATATTTCATTCCCTAAAAAAAAAATGAATTTTTTCTTTTTTTTTTTTATTTATTAGTAACATATCTTTTTCCAATTGATTTTTTTCTTATCAATTTTTTTTCCTGACAGTCTTTATACTTTTTTTTTTTTAAAAAAAAAGTACAAACAAAAAAAAAAATGATCATCAATTTTTTTTTCCGCGTTGTGCATGACGCACTTCATATTCATCATTTAACTAGTCCTTTTATTTTCCAAGAAGGTTAATAAAGCCTTTTATTAACCACAAAGTCACCGAACACCATGTTAATAAATCAGTTGGTTAATACATTGGTCTATAAACAATACTATTGACCTTTTTTGCATAATTTTAGACGAATAAATTGAATAAAAACATTTCATTTTGTGCATGCTAATTCGCAAGGACAATATGATATAATAAATGTCTTCTCTAAAATAGTTATTCAAAAAGTATGTAAAAAAAAAAAATATGTATATACATACTTGCATTTAAAGTGAGTGCACTTAAAAAAAAATAAATAAATAATAATATTTTTTTTGTGTGGATATTTACAATTAAAAAAAAATATATACTTTGATGATATTTTTTTTATTACAAAAAAGAAATTATTTTATTTTTTTTTTTTTTTGGATGATAATGTGCAGACTACTATAGATTGTATATTTTTATTTTAAGCTAAAATGTAATATTAAGGAAATTACATTTTGGAGTGTTGCTTATATTATAAAAAAATAATTAACTAAGCAATATTTAATGTTTATTAATAATAATAAAAATTTTATATTATAATTAAGTAGAGTTTACACTACACTTTCCTTATTAATTTATTTGTTTGACACGAGAAAAATAATTGGACAACCATTAATAAATCAGAGCTATAAATAATTTCTTTTCCTTAGGAATATTATCCTATTTATAATAATTATAATAATCTTAATACTTCTTGAACAGATATTTGGATAATTTATGTTTCTATATCTCCAATACAAAAACTACTCAAATTATTTTATTATCATGTAATATCTATGTGAAATGTAAGACACTTTTATATTTTATATATTTTTACTAGTAAGAACAACTTCTACATAAAATATTAAAAAAAAATAAATCAGAAAAATGTACTTTTATTAAATTTATGATCATTTTTTTAGAGAAAAACTGGTGTTAAAATATTAAAAATGATAATATTTATACACACTACTTTTTTTTAATAATACATCAATGATTTTAACAAATTAAACTTAAAAAATAAAAATTCTTACTAAAATTCGGTCTTAATATTTACAAAGATACCTTATGAAATTTAACCTTTTAAGAAATAAGTTATATTATGAAGCGACAGCTGTTGAATTCATTTATGCTCTTTAATAAAAGGCTTCATTAACCTTTTTGGTAATAAAAAGGACTAGCTATACGAAGAATACGTAGTTGGTCACACACACGCAAAAAAAAAAAAAAAAATTATTGAATTTTTTTTTATTTTTTTTTTTAATAAATGGAGATACGTAAAAAAAAATTATACACATTTTTTTTAAAAAGATTTAATGAAAGAGAGAAAATTAGTAAATAAAAATTGGGAATAACATTTAGTACCAATAAAAATGAGATCTTAAATAGATAAAAGATATTTACATATAAAAGAGTTTAATTTGCATAATATTTATATTTTATATTTGTGAGAGAAAATTTTATACATATGACAATAAAATTTTCACGTAATTAATATACATATAATTTATTTGCATTTTTACTAATTATTAATGTTTGCTTATTCAACACCAATATATTTAAATTGCTGAACATAACTCATAATGAAGAAATAAATAAATTACTATTAAATATTAATCAATATTCAATAAGGATTTTAATTTTTAATAAAAATAAAGATAATTATTAAAGTAAATAAATGTCTATTGAAATCAAAAAATTGCTGAATGAAGTAGATAACATAAATAAGGATCACTCATTCAAAGCATATAAAAATAAATACAAATACATCATAATCGTAGAGGCATCCCCACGTGCTCCTTATAAATTTGTTTGTTCTGTACTCTAGCAAAGTCACCGAACACCCATTTAATAAATCAATACTATACAAATGAGTTACCTAAATTTCATAAGTAAAATGAAAAATAAAATACTGTGCTATAAATATGAAAAACTAAAAAGAAAAAAGAAAATAAAAACATTCTAATAATAATCAACACTTATCAAATAAATATATAAAGGCACAAAAAAAAAAAATAAAATAATTTTTTTTTATATTTAATTAGAAGATTATAATAATATATATACCAAATGTTCTTTTATAATTCTGCATTATTTTTATTTACTGATATTTTTTATATAACAATAAAAATGCACTCTTCTGAATTTTATAAGAAAAAAACTATTATATTTAACTAAAGATATATTTTTATATTCAGTAAATAACATTTATACTAAATTTGAAACTTAAAAGAATTACTCGCAAAATAGTAAATTTATAAAAAAGTATTTTTAGAATTAATTAAGTAAATTTGTAAAAAAATAAAACATTTTTTAAAAAATATTTTTTACTGTAAATGTATGATTAAAAAAATTGTTTTTTTTTTTTTTTTTTAAATTGTAATTAATTTATTTGACTTTTAAATGTGCTTTTTATATGATTTGTTACTTTAATTTATTTAATGTAAATACCTATCTTCACTTCTTTTGAATTTAAGTACTTAATGAATTTTTTTTTTATTTTTTTCAAATAGTTGAAAAAGTAATTTTTTTAAAAAAATAGTTATAATAAAAAATAAATATACACATATATTGTATAAACATTGATCAATAATAAAAATAAAAAAAAAAGAATTAAGATAAAAAAAGTATATTAGAAAAATCAAAAAAGTTAAATTTAAAAGAATAATATACACAAACAAAAATTAGTTTTATATTAAGTAAAAAATTGTCACAAATGTAGTATACTGTATGAAAGATACATGCGTATAAAAATTTTTAATTTATAGAGTTTTTTTTCTTTTTTTGATCCAGATATATCTCTAAATATACGAATATTAATATTTATAAATCATAATATACCGTATATTAAATAATTTAAAGTTCGACATAATTCACAGAGATTGGTAGTTTAGAAAAAAAAGATAAAAATAAAACCTTAAACATTATATGTATATCATTTATAATTTTTATGCGCATTAAATTAAAAATATTTAATTTTTTTACATAATTCAAAGATAAATAAAATTCCAATTAAATATTTTCAAAATAACATTATCCAATTTATTATATTTTTTATTTATTTGTAAATTAACATTCATATTTTATTTTTTAAAGAATTAATAATATTATTCCTATCTAAAGTAATAATAACATCATATGTAATAATAAAAAATTAGAAATTACAGTTCATATATGAAAATAATTTTCTATTTTAAAAATATAAGAAATTTATGTAAGTTATAATAATATCTAAATTAATATTACAAATCCATAATTTAGTATTACTGAAAATTGAAACAAATTTACACCTGAATTAACAACTTTCACTTCAATATTATTCTATAAATATATTCATATGAAAACGTTAACTTTATATTTAAAATTTACTACATTCCTTCTTTTAATTTGGATGTATCAATATTTTTATAACGTAAGTTAAAATTTTTACAAAAAATGTAAATATAGATATTTTTTATTTTTAATTATTTTAAACATACCATTTGATTTACTATTCTAGCAAAAGAAACATTCTACTAAAAAAATTTTTATTTAATCCATAGTGTGATTCCTATAAAACATTGATTGATAAAAATATATTGCAAATAAAAAATGAGTTAAAATATGAAAGAGTATTAACAGAGGTTGACATAGCAGGAGAAAAACAAACTAACGCTGAAGGATGCCAAGAAGAATGTCCAACAGAAAATAAAGAAAAAGAAAAAAAAAAAAAAATATGGAAAAATTCACGAAAATTGAGTAATCCATACGATCTATGGCAGAAATTCACTAATCCATTATTGTCGGAGCGATTTAAAAATGAAATAAGTGGAATGGATCCTAAACGGATAGACGAAAAATGGAAGAATGAATGGAATCAAATTTCAGAGAACAAAGTTAAGGATCTATCTTCTATATTTCAACGAAGTGATATTTCAAATGAAGAAAAAGAAAAATTAATTCTTGATACTAAAACAGAACTCTTCAAACTATATATGGATTTTGTAGACGAAGCTAAGAATGAGGTGAGAGGCAATAAAACAGAATCGGAATCTGAATCTGAGAAAGAGATGAGGGACAATAAAACAAAATCTGAATCTATTAAAGAGATGATAGACAATAGAACAGAAACAGAATCTATGAATGAGATAAGAGAAAATATAACAGAATCCGAATCTGAGAAAGCGATGAGAGACAGTAAAACAGAATCCGAATCTAAGAAAGAGATGAGAGAAAATAGAACAGAATCCGAATCTACGAAAGAGATGAGAGACAATAAAGCAGAATCCGAATCTGAATCTGAATCTGAATCTGAGAAAGAGATGAGAGACAATAAAACAGAATCCGAATTTGAGAAAGTGATGAGAGAAAATAAAAGAGAATCCGAATCTGAATCTGAGAAAAAGATGAGAGGCAATAAAACAGAATCCGAATCTAAGTATGAGAAAGAAATGAGAGACAACAAAACAGAATCCGAATCTATTAAAGAGATGATAGACAATAGAACAGAAACCGAATCTATGAAAGAGATAAGAGAAAATATAACAGAATCTGAATCTGAGAAAGAGATGAGAGACAATGAAACAGAATCCGAATCTGAATCTGAGAAAGAGATGAGAGACAATGAAACAGAATCCGAATCGGAATATGAATCTGAGAAAGAGATGAGAGACAATGAAACAGAATCCGAATCTGAATCTGAATCTGAGAAAGAGATGAGAGAAAATAAAACAGAATCCGAATCTAGGAAAGAGCAGGGAACATATGAAATAACAAATTATAAAAAAAAAATTTGGGAATTACATATTGTTTTGATAATCTTAAGGAGAATATAAATTAATGGTTTAACAGAGAATATAGGATTAGTCATGAACAAAATCTAGTTAAAAAATGAAAAATTAATGTTTTTTCTAAATTTGTTTTATGGAAATATATTTTATTCTTTAAAAAAAAATAAATTAAAAGAAAAAAATTTTTTACAAAAAAAAAATTTCATGAGAATATTTTTTAATTTTTAAGAATAAAATTTTTGTTTAGTGATATTAATATAATTAAAATTTTTTTTTATTATTTAGGTATTTTTATTATTTTTAAAATCATGTAAATAAATTACTGAATTACTTATAAAAAGAAATAAATATTATGTATATAAAAATTATTTATTAATTAGAATATATGTTTTTAATAAAAATACATAATTTTTATCATAGTAAATCCAATATGAACCGCATTAGTGCGGTTTATTTGTTTATATCATTAAAATTAGATTAAAATGTATTTAATTATTAGAGAAAACTCCATATTCTCTTTAATAATTTGTTTTTCATTACTCTAGAAAATTCATTGAATGATAATTTAATAAATTAAAAATGTAAATTATGGAAAGTAAATAAATCAGGTAGTAAATGTAGAGGTGGTTAATAAAAGGCTTTAAATAACCTTTTTGGAAAATAAAAGAACTAGTTAAATGAAGTATACAAAGTTGGTCATGCATACACACACAAAAAAAAAATTGATGACTTTTTTTTTTTGTCTGTACTTTTTAAAAAGTAAGTACAATGACTGTCAGAAAAAAAAATTTGATAAAAAAAAATGTAAAAATAGTCAGGAAAAAAAATTGATTAAAAAAATCAATTTTTTAAAATATTTGTTACTAATAAATAAAAAAAAAAAAAAAAAAAAGAATTTTTTTTTTTAGAGTGAGGAATTAAAGGAAACATTTTTTCATGATGAATTTTGTAAAAGGAAATTTGATACATATAACAGTAAAATTTTCATGTAATTAATATTTATATAATTTATTTTGTTTTTGTTAATTCAACAGCAATATAAAATAATTGCTGAATATAACTAATAACAAATAAACTAGTAATTATAATTAATTAATAATTAATGTTAAATAAGTATTTAAATTTTTAATAAAAATTAATGATTTTTATTAAAGTAAATAAATACCTATTGAAATAAAAGAATGCTGAACGAAGTAGATTATAATTAAAGATCACTCGTTCAAAGCAAATTGAAAATATATATAAATATACAAAAGTAGTAGAGACACCTCTACATGCTCTTTATTAATTGGTTTGTTCATTACTATAGTAAAGTCCCCGAACACCCAGTTAATAAAACAATAGAATAAAATAGAAGAAAAAAAGTTGGATTCAGAATTATTATCAGATGGTTTCTTAATTGGATGTTCAATGAATTTGCTAGAGCACTAAACAAACAAATTAATAAAGAGCATGTAGAGTTGCCTCTACGATTTTGATGTATTTATATATACTTTTATATGCTTTGAACGAGCGATTCTTAATTATGTAATCTACTTCATTCAGCATTCTTTAATTTAAGAAGCACTTATTTACTTTAATAAAAATCCTTATTTTTATTAAAAATTTAAATCCTCATTGAACATTAATTATTAATTAAATGTAATTTATTTATTTCTCTGTTATGAATTATGTTCAGCAATTTAAATATATTCCTGTTGAATTAACAAGCATAAACAATTATTAAAAATGAAAATTAATTATATGAATATTAATTACGTGAATATTTTATTGTCATATGTATAAAATTTTCTCTTACAACTTAAAAATATAAATATTATGCAAATTAAACTCTTTTATGTAAATATTTTTTTATCTGCTTAAGATCTCATTTTTATTGATGCTATATCTTACTATCAATTTTTATTTTACCAATATTTTTCTCTAATTTAAAACATTTAAAGAAAATAAATATATTTTTTTTTTACGTATCTCTCTTTTTTTTTTAAAGAAAAATAAAAAAAAATTCATCATCATTTTTTTTTTTTTTTTTTGTGTGTGCTGACCAACTACGTATTCTTCATATAGCTAGTTCTTTTTATTACCAAAAAGGTTAATGAAGTCTTTTATTAACTATACTCTACCACCATGTGAAAGTAATGGTTATTACTTAATGTTTGTTATTTTTGCCTTGTTTTATTACATCAAATCCTTTTTGTATTCCATTTTCAATTTGCTTCTCCTGATTGTCGTTAATGTCATTTATTATAATGCTATTCCGTTTATGAATATCTAGATAATCTTTAGACTTTAAATCATGCATCAGATTTAGTTTCCTTTTATTTTTATTCGTAACGCGTATTAAATTCTCCAGTTACTTTTCATATATCTCCCTGGTTTTATTACTTAACAATTTTATTTTTGACGTCGGAATTTGTACTTCTTTACCTCTATAGTTGGTTAATAAAAGGTTTCATTATACTTTTTGATAATAAAAAGACTAGCTATATGAAGAATACATAGTTGATTGTGCTAAAGCGAAAAAAAAAAAAAAAAAAATATATTTATTTTTTTCTTAAATGTTGTAATGAAAATGGTGATAGAAAATTGGTAAAATAAAAAAATCGAGAGTAAGATTTAGTACCAATAAATATAAGATCTTAAAAAGATAATAATGTTTACATAAAAGAGTTTAATTTGCATAATATTTATATTTTTTTAATTTGTGAGAGAAAATTTTATACATATGACAATAAAATTTTCACGTAATTAATATCCATATAATTTATTTGCATTTTTACTAATTATTAATGTTTGTTTATTCAACACCAATATATTTAAATTGCTGAACATAACTCATAATGAAGAAATAAATAAATTACTATTAAATATTAATCAATATTCAATAAGGATTTTAATTTTTAATAAAAGTAAGGATTTTTATTAAAATAAATAAATGACTATTGAAATTAAAAAAAGCTGAATGAAGTAGATAACATAAATAAGGATCACTCGTTCAAAGCATATAAAAGTATATATAAATTCACCATAATCGTAGACACATCTCTACATGCTCTTTATTAATTTGTTTGTTCAGTACTCTAATAAAGTCACCGAATACCCAGTTTATAAAAGAGTGCTCTAGCAAAGTCATCGAACATCCAATAAATAAATTAATACCATAGACCCTTTAATATAATAATCAAATGTTTCACAAGTTGTAACAATTGAAAATTATTTTTTTTATATTGTACTCTATTTCCGCTGAATGTCACTAAGTTTTCTGGACGTATAGTGAACATATTTAGCTTTACCTATATTGATTATATCTGTTAATACACTTCTCTAAAAATAATTCTATTTACCATTTTTGTATAATATTTAGACATATAAATAGAATAAAAACATTCTATTTTGTGCATGCTATTTCGCAAGGACAATTTGCTATAATAAATGCTTGCTCTAAAATAGTTATTCAAAAAGTATGCAAACAAAAAATATATGTATATAGATACTTGCGCTTAAAGTGAGCACACTTAAAAAAAAATAAATAAATAATAATATTTATTTGTGTCGGTACTTACAATTCAAAAAAAATATAAATTATGACCATATTTTTTTATTACTAAAAAAAAATATAATCTTAAAAAAAAAATTAGTTTTTTTTTTTTTTTTTTTTTTGGAGGATAATGTGCAAATTCACTATAGAATGTATGTTTATATTTTAAGCTAAAATGTATTATTAAGGAAATTACATTTTAGAGTGCTGCTTATATTAAAAAAAAATAATTAACTAATAAGTCATATTTAATGTTTCTTAATAAATATAAAAAATTCTATATTAAAATTAAATAGAGTTTACACTACATTTTCCTTATTAATTTATTTGTTTGACAAGAGAAAAATAATTTAACAACCATTAATAAATCATAGCTATAAATAATTTCTTTTCCTTAGGAATATTATCCTATTTATAATAATTATAATAATTTTAACACTTCATGTACTGTTATTTGGATAATTTAAGTTTCTATATCTCCAATGCACACACTATTTAAATTATTTTAATATCATGCATATATATGTTAAATGTAAGACACATTTATATTTTACATATTTTTAGTAGTAAGAACAACTTCTACATATAATATGAAAAAAATATAAATCATAAAAAATGCACTTTTATTAAATTTATGATTATTTTTTAGAGAAAAATTAGTGTTAAAATATTAAAAATGATAGTATTTATAAACACTACTTTTTATTAATAATACGTCAAAGATTCTAACAAATTAAATTAAAAAAAATAAAAATTCTTACTAAAATTCTGCATTAATATTTACAAAGGTATCTTATTAAATTTAACCCTTTATGAAAAAAGTTATATTAGAAAGGAACAATTGTTGAATTTATTTATACTATATAAATGAGTTACCTAAATTTTTTGGTAAGTAAAGTGAAAAATAAAAAATTGCGCTATAAATGTATAAAACCAAAAATAAAAATAGAAAATAAACACATCATAATAATAATCAAAACATATCAAATAAATATATAAAAATAAAAAAAAAAAAAGTAAAATAATTTTTTTTTATATTTAATTAGAAGATTAAATAATATATATGCAAAATGTTATTTTATAATTCTGTTTTATCTTTATTTATTGATATTTTTTATATCACAGTAAAAATGCATTCTTTTGAATTTTATAAGAAAAAATCTATTATATTTAACTAAAGTTATATTTTTATAATCAGTAAATAACATTTGTATTAATTTTGAAACTGATAAATATTACTCGTAAAAAAGTAAATTTATAAAAATGTATTTTTAGAATAAATTAAGTAACTTTGTCAAAAAAAATAATTTTTTTTAAAAAATAGTTTTTACTTTAAATATATGATTAAAAAAATAGTTTTTTTTTTTTTTTTTTAAATTGTAATTAATTTATTTGACTTTTAAATGTGCTTTTTAGAAGATTTGTTATTATAATTTCTTTAATGTAAATAACTATTTTCACTTTTTCTTTTGAATTTAAGTACTTAATAGTTTTTTTTCTTTTTTTCAAATAGTTGAAAAGTAATTTTTTTTAAAAAATAGTTAAAACAAAAAATAAATATGTATATATATTGTATAAATATTTATCAATAATAAAAATAAAAAAAAAAGAATTAAGATAAAAAAGAGTATATTAGAAAAATCAAAAAAGTTATGTTTAAAAGAAAAATATTCACAAACAAAAATTAGTTTTATATTAAGTGAAAATTTGTCACAAATGTAGTATACTGTATGATAGATACATGAGTATAAAAATTTTTAATTTATAATGTTTTTTTTTCTTTTTTTGATGCAGATATATCTCTATAATATACGAATATTAATATTCATAAATCATAATATACCGTATATTAAATAATTTAAAGTTCGACATAATTCACAGAGATTGGTAGTTTATAAAAAAAAGATAAAAAAAAAACCTTAAACTTTAAATGTATATCATTTATAATTTTTATGTGCATTAAATTAAAAATATTTAATTTTTTTAAATAAATTAAAGATAAATTAAATCTTAATAAAATATTTTTAAAATAACTTTATCCGATTTATTAAATTTTTTATTTATTTGTAAATTAACATTCTTATTTTATTTTTTAAAGAATTAAGAATATTATTCCTATCTAAAGTAATCATATTATCATATGTAATAATAAAAAATTACAAATTACATTTCATATATGAAAATATTTTTCTATTTTAAAAATTTAAGAAATTAATATAAGTTATAATAATATCTAAATTAATATTACAAATCCATAATTTAGTATGATTGAAAATTGAAAAATCTTAAATCTGAATTAACAACTACCACTTCAATATTATTCTATAAATATATTAATATGAAAACATTAACTTTAAATTTAAAAATTACAACATTCCTTCTTTTAATTTGGATGTATCAATATTTTTATAACGTAAGTTAAAATTTTTACAAAAAATATACATGTAGATATATTTTATTTCTAATTATTTTTAACATTCCATTTGATTTACTATTCTAACAAAAGAAACATTCTTTTAAAAAAATTTTTATTTAATCCATAGTGTGATTCCTATAAAATATTGATTGATAAATATATATTGCAAACAAAAAATGAGTTAAAATATGAAAGAATATTAACAGAGGGTGATATAGCCGGAAAAATGCAAACATACTCGGAAGGATGCATAGAAGAATATTCATTAGATGATAAAAAAAACAAATGGGAAAATTTGCTACTACAGCAGAATCCGTACGATCGATGGCAGAAAGTCACTAATCCATCATTGTTGGAGCGATTTAAAAAAGAAACATGTGGAATGGATCCTAAATGGATAGATGAAAAATGGAATAATGAATGGAATAATATTTCAGCGAACAAAGTAAATGAACTATCTTCAATATTTGATCGAAGTGATATTTCTGAAGAAGAAAAAGGAAAATTAATTCGCAGTGTTATGAAAGAACTCTACAGATTATATTTCAATTTTATAGGGGAATGTAAGAAAGAGATGAGTGAAAATAAAACAGAATCCGAATCTAAGATAGGGATGAGTTACAATAAAACAGAATCCGAATCTTGGAAAGAGATGAGAGAAAATAAAACTGAATCCGAATGTATGAAAGAGATGAGAGACAATAAAACAGAATTCAAATCTATGAAAGATGTGATAGACAATAAAAAGGAATCCGAATCTGAATCTGAGAAAGAGATGAGAGAAAATAAAGAAGAATACAAATATAAGAATGAGCAGGGAAAAAATAAAAAAAAAAAAAAGAAATCAAATATTTTGAAATTTCTTTTTTGTAGGTGTGATAACCATTGAGAGAATAAAAATTAATATTTTAACAGAGAATATAGGATTTCTCATGCACAGGATCTAGTAAAAAAAAGAAAAATTAATATATTGTCTAAATTTTTTTTATAGAGATGAATTTTATTTTTTAAAAAGAAAAAAAATTAAAAGAGAAAAATTTTTTAGAAAAGAAAAATTTCATGAGAATATTTTTTAATTTTTAAGAATAATTTTTTCGTTGAGTAATATTAATATAATTAAAATTTTTTTCTATTATTTAAGTATTTTTATTATTTTTAAAAGCAGTGAACTTAAATTATTGAAAATTACTTATAAAAAGCAATAAATATTTTGTACTTAAAAATTAATAATTAATGAGAATATATGTTTTTAATAAAAATACATAATTTTTATCAAAGTAAATTCACAATGAACCGCATTGTTGCAGTTTACTTGTTTATATAATTAAAATTAGATTTAAAATTCATTTAATTACTAGAGAAAATACCATATTCTTTTTAATAATATGTTTTTCATTACTATAGTAAATTCATTGAATGATAATTTAATAAATTAAAAATGTAAATTATGGAATGTAAATAAATCAGGTAGTAAATGTAGAGGATAAAATAGAAGAAAAAACGTTTCATATAAAATTATTACGAGCTTATCTACATGACAAAAAAAGGACACAAAAAAGAAAAAAAAAGTCTTTATTGAGAATTATTAGAGTTAAAGATTTGTTAATAAAAGGAATTATTAGCATTCTTGAGAAATAAATTAATAGCTATATGGAATATAAATAGACATGAAAGTACTAGATAAATGAAAAAAAAAGAATTGACTATTGTAAAAAATATATTCATGTTATTAAAAAATAGAAAAAAAATTGATAAAAAGTTTTTTCGTGGCAAATTTTTATCCTTGAATTTTAAAGAGGAAATTTTATATTATCTATAATGAAATTTTCGCGTTTGTAGTATTGTATAACTTATTTCGGGTTTTGTTATTTATATTTGCTAATTCTAGAGAAGTGAATTTGAATTGTTAAACATTAATCGTAACCTTATAAGTAAAACACATGTGATTTAAAACTATAATTAATAAAGATTTAAATGTTTAATAAAAATAGGGATTTTTATTAAAATAATTAAATGCCTCTTAAAAACAATAAATGCTTAATGAAGGAGACCATATACATTTCAATGGTTTATAATATTAAAAACAAATTTAAATTCATTTAAATGGTACAAGAAATTCTACCTGCTCGTTGTTAATCCTTTTTTTCATACTCCAGCAAAGTAATGAATAGGAAATTAATAAATCATTAATTACATATATTTAACTTATATTATGATTTATATTTAACAAATCAAATTTATTGCTCTCAAGTTAACTAGCATAAATAATTGATAAAGTTCAAATTAAATTACGTAAGTACTACAAAACAAAAAAATTTTATTATAGTTAATATAAAATTTTCTTATTAAAATTTATACAAAAATACACTACAATAAGCTTTTTTAGTCAATAACTTTTTCATCTATTTTTCGACCAGTAAATTCCTATTAAAAAAAGTAAAAATTTATTTTTTTCTGTATTTAAATTACGAAAATAAAAAAACATCAACTAATATTTTTCTTTTTTTTTTACTTAACTATTGCATGTTGGTTAATAAAGTGTATTATTAACCTTTTTAAAAATAAACGATAATAGTTGTATGGAAAAAATATAGTTATACATGCAAATTCTAGATGAAAAAAAAAAAAAAAAAAAAAAGAAAAAAAAAAAAAAAATTAATGTTAATTTCTTTATTTTCATTTTCTAATTTTTAATACAGAAAAAAAAATATATTTACTTTTTTTTTGAAAAGATTAATTTTTTAGTTGAAATATTAATTATTAATTTCTTATTCAATAACTTTGCGGGAGTACTGATTTATTAACTGGGTGTTCGGTGACTTTACTCTAGTACTGAACAAACGAATTAATAAAGAGCATGTAGAGGTGCCTCTACGATTTTGGTGTATTTATATATACTTTTATATGCTTTGAGCGAGTTATTCTTAATTATGTGCTCTACTTCGTTCAGCATTCTTTGATTTCAATAGGCATTTATTTACTTTAATAAAAATTCCAATTTTTATTAAAAATTTAAATACTTATTGAACGTTGATTATTAATTAATTGTAAATTACATGTTTCATTGTTATAAGTTTCATTAAGCAACTAATATATATTGCTGTTGAATTAACAAACATAAACAATTCTTGACAATACAAAGAAAATTATATAAATAATTATTATATGAAAATTTTATTTCTATATGTATAAAAATTTTCTTTTGCAAAATTCGTTACAAAATATATTTCATTCGCTAAAAAAAAAATGAATTTTTTTTTTTTTTTTTTATTTATTAGTAACATATCTTTTTCCAATTGATTTTTTTCTTATCAATTTTTTTTTCTGTGTTGTGCATGACACACTTCATATTCATCATTTAACTAGTCCTTTTATTTTCCAAGAAGGTTAATAAAGCCTTTTATTAACCACAAAGTCACCGAACACCATGTTAATAAATCAGTTGGTTAATACATTGGTCTATAAACAATACTATTGATCTTTTTGTATAATTTTAGACGAATAAATTGAATAAAAACATTTCATTTTGTGCATGCTTATTCGCAAGGACAATATGATATAATAAATGTCTTCTCTAAAATAGTTATTTAAAAAGTATGTAAAAAAAAAAAAATATGTATATACATACTTGCACTTAAAAAAAAATAAATAAATAATATTTTTTTTGTGTGAGTATTTACAATTAAAAAAAAAATATATAATGATCATATTTATTTTATTACAAAAAAAAATGTATTCTTAAAAAAGAAATTAGTTTTTCTTTTTTTTTTTTTTGGAGGATAATGTGCAGACTACTATAGAATGTATATTTTTATTTTAAGCAAAAATGTAATATTAAGGAAATTACATTTTGGAATGTTGCTTATATTAAAAAAAATAATTAACTAAGCAATATTTAATGTTTATTAATAAAAATAAAAATTTTATAGTAAAATTAAGTACAGTTTACACTACATTTTCCTTATTAATTTATTTGTTTGACACTAGAAAAGTAATTTAATAACCATTAATAAATCAGAGCTATAAATAATTTCTTTTCCTTAGGAATATTATACTATTTATAATAATTATAATATCTCATGAAATGTTATTTGGATAATTTAAGTTTCTATATCTCCAATGCACACACTATTTAAATTATTTTATTATCATGTAATATCTATATGAAATGTAAGACACTCTTATATTTTATATATTTTTACTAGTAAGAACAACTTCTACATAAAATATTAAAAAAATATAAATCAGAAAAATGTGCTTTTATTAAATTTATGATTATTTTTTAGAGAAAAACTAGTGTTAAAATATTAAAAATGATAATATTTATACACACTACTTTTTATTAATAATACGTCAATGATTTTAACAAATTAAATTTAAAAAATAAAAACTCTTACTAAAATTCTGTCTTAATATTTACAAAGACGCCTTATGAAATTTAACCTTTTAAGAAAAAAGTTATATTAGGACGGTAGAGCTGTTGAATTCATTTATGCTCTTTAATAAAAGGCTTCATTAAGCTTTTTGGTAAAAAAAAGGACTAGCTATACGAAGAATACGTAGTTGGTCACACACACGCAAAAAAAAAAAAAAAATTATTGAATTTTTTTTTATTTTTTTTTTTAATAAATGGAGATACGTAAAAAAAAAATATACACATTTTTTTTAAAAAGATTTAATGAAAGAGAGAAAATTGGTAAAATAAAAATTGGGAATAACATTTAGTACCAATAAAAAAGAGATCTTAAATAGATAAAAGATATTTACATATAAAAGAGTTTAATTTGCATAATATTTATATTTTTAATTTGTGAGAGAAAATTTTATACATATAACAATAAAATTTTCACGTAATTAATATCCATATAATTTATTTGCATTTTTACTAATTATTAATGTTTGTTTATTCAACACCAATATATTTTAATTGCTGAACATAACTCATAATGAAGAAATAAATAAATTACTATTAAATATTAATCAATATTCAATAAGGATTTTAATTTTTAATAAAAGTAAGATGTATGAATTTAATAATAATTATGTTTATTCTGAATGAATTAAAGATTCAAAGATATAAAAAAAATTTAAAAAAAAAAAATTAAAATTTTTTTTTTTAAATGATAATAAAGGTAAAAATAAGTATAATGATAAACATATTATATTGGTGAATATCATGATTATCGAATATTACAACTGTTTAATGTTATTTATATTAATAAATTAAGTAATTTAATTTGTATCAATTCTAAAAGTAACTGTGGCATAATGACCATTTATATCGTAAGATACATAAATTGATTTAATATTAATGCAGGATGTTTATAAATAATATGTAATTAAGATAATGGATATACGTTATAGTGATAAAATGTTATTAACATAAACAATTTTAACGTACAACCGCTAAAATATTTTTGATAAAAAAATTATGTTATATAGCAATAAATATTGAAAAAAATAAAAAAAAGGTATTATAATCTTATTTACATTTATGAGTATAATTGTAGTTTTAATGAAAACAATAATAAAAATGTAATTTACATAAATTTGAATTTATTTTAATTATGATTCAATTTCTTACATAACAATATATTATTGGAGCAAATAAATTTTAGAAATAATGAAATGCATTTTAAATTATAAATTCACAGCTAGGTGTGAACTGTCTTTTTCAGGTATATAATTTGAAATATATGACAATAAAAACCTGAAAAAAAAAAAAGGAATTTAAATAAATATAAACATTATCTTAATTTTTATAATTTAAGTAATAATAACATATAAATCTCAATAAAAATAAACAATACACTGATGTAATCATTTTTATAACTCAATGATATATAATTAAAGCAAAAATATGTGTACATATTTTGCTAAAAGTTTTAA